TTACTTCAAAGAATGGGGTTTGGAAGTAGATGGAGGAAATGGATAGAGACATGTCTTTCGTCCGTAAAGTTCTCTGTTCTCGTGAATGGGTCTTCTGTTGGTTTCTTCGGGTGTTCTCGTGGGTTGAGACAAGGTGATACCTTGTCGTCTTTTCTTTTTCTCATCGTAATGGAGGGTCTGAGCAGACTCACGAGGAGGGCAGAGGATCTCGGTCTTATCAAGGGCTTTAGGGTGGGCAGAGATCTAGTGCATCAGATTGAGATTTCTTATCTTCTGTTTGCGGATGATACCTTGGTCTTTTGTGATGTTGATGTCTCTCAACTTCGATATTTGAGGTGCATTTTGGTTTGTTTTCAGGTGGTTTCAGGGTTGAAGGTCAATGTGGCTAAGAGCGAGCTTGTCCCGGTTCGGGATGTTCAGGATATTTCCTCCTTAGCCGCAGTTCTTGGGTGTAGGGCGAGCTCTTTCCCTATTCCTTATTTGGGTTTGCCTTTGGAGGTCTCTTCTAGGAGGGTGGGGAGCTGGGATCCTGTGCTAGATAGGCATGCTAAGAGGTTAGCAGGATGAAAGAAACAATATCTGTCAAAGGGGGGAAAAGTTACTCTCATAAAGAGTACTCTTTCGAGCCTGCCTACTTATTTTTTATCTGTGTTCCAAATTCCTTGCTCTGTTGCTGAAAGGATTGAAAAGATCCAAAGGATTCTTCTGGGGCGGAAGGGGCGAAGAGTTTAAGTATCATCTCGTCAGGTGGGAGCAAGTTTGCAAGCCCATTAAGTTGGGTGGTCTGGGTTTCATGTCGTTTTGGGGAGGAGAGTGGCTGCTGGTCTACTCGTCCCGTCTCTATTGCGGGAGGAGTTGGTGTGTGGAAATTCATTTGGAAGGGCTAGGATGTTTTCTCTTCCCATATTAGATTCAAGGTTTGTGACGGTAGATATGTTCGATTTTGGGAGGATTCATGTTGTGGTGAACAACTGTTATCTTGCACATTTCCCAGTTTGTACAGCATCGCCGCCGACAAACATGTCTACGTAATTGACTGTTACCGGCTTGATAGCAATGGGATTACGTGGGACGTGAGCTTTCGGCGTTCCGGGAGATGGACGAGGTATGTGTTCTTCTAGATATGTTGTATCAGCAGGAGGCAGTTGGCATAGGTAGTGATGATATTAGGTGGATCCCCTCTTCCCATGGTCGATTTGAAGTACGATCCCTGTTCCGATGCCTCTCCAACTTCACTGCCATTGATTTTCCATGGAAAACCATATGGCGTTGTATTGCTCCACCTAGAGTGGCATTCTTTGTGTGGACTACTGTATAGGGCAAGATCTTGACAATTGACAATTTGAGGAAGAGAGGCAATTGTATTGTTAATTGGTGTTGCCTGTGCGAACGAGATGGTGAGTCGGTGGATCGTATTCTCCTGCATTGCCTAGTGGCGTACGTCTGTTGGAACCTTATATATGTCTTATTCGGTATGTTTTGGGTAATGCCTTGATCTTCTAAGGGTTTGATTAAAGCTTGGCGTAGATCATATCATAGAGGGTTTCATTCTTTTGACATGATTCGTCCGTCATGTTCTCTGTTCTTGTGAACGGATCTCCTGCTGGTTTCTTTGCGAGCTCTTGAGGCTTGAGACAAGTAGACCCCTTGTTGTCTTCTCTATTCCTTATAGTCATGGAGGATTAGAGCAGATTAATGAGGAGAGCGGAGGATTTGGGTTATATCAGGGGGTTTAGAGTCAGCAGAGATGTAGCTCATCAGATGGAGATCTCCCATTTGCTGTTTGTGGACGATAACTTGGTTTTTTGTGATGCCGATGTCTTCCAACTTAGATATTTGAGGTGCATTCTTATTTGTTTCTAGGCGGTTTCTGGGCTAAAGATCAATGTTGGAAAGAGTGTGCTTGTCCCGGTTGGGAATGTTTTGGATATTTCCTCCTTAGCTACAGTTCTTGGGTGTGGGGTGGGTGCTTTTCCTCTTCCTTATTTGGGATTGCCTTTAGGGTTTCCTCTGGGAGGGTGGGGAGCTGGGATCCGGTAATTAATAGGTATGAGAAGAGGTTGGTAGGATGGAAGAAGCAATATCTGTCGAAGGGGGGGGAAGGTCACTCTTATCAAGAGTACTCCCTCGCCCCTTCCCACTTACTTCTTATCTTTGTTTCAAATCCCATGCTCTGTCGCCGAAAGGATTGAAAAAATTCAAAGGGACTTTCTATGGGGTGGAAGGGGAGAGAAGTTCAAGTATCATCTTGTTAATTGGGAGCAAGTTTGCAAACCCTTGAAGTTAGGCGGTTTAGGGCCTTTAGGCATCTGAAAGTTGGTTCCTTTTAATAGAGCTTTATTAGGAAAGTGGTTATGGAGATTCGGTAGGGAACGACATCGCCAGTGGAGAAGGATTGTCTCGTGTCGTTTTGGGGAGGAGAGTGATGGCTGGTCCTCCCGTCCAATCTCTGTTGTGGGAGGCGTCGGCGCGTGGAAATTCATTCGGAAGGGTTGGGATGTTTTCTCCTCACATATCAGATTCAAGGTTCGTGATGGTAGGCGTGTTCGCTTTTGGGAGGATTTATGGTGTGGAGATCAGTTGTTGGCTTATTCCTTTCCTAGACTTTATAGTATTACCGAAGATAGGCACGCTTGCGTAGCGGACTGTTATCGGCTTGATAGCAGTGGGGTTACGTGGGATGTGCGCTTTAGGCGTTCTTTTCAGGATTGGGAAATGGACGAGGTATGTGTTTTTCTGGATTTGTTGTATTAGTAGAAGGATGTTGACAGAGGTAGTGATGACATTTTGTGGGTTCCTTCCTCCCGTGGTAGATTTGGTGTTCAATCCATGTTCTTTTGGTCTTGCTTTCCCATGGAAGACTATATGGTGCTCTAAGGCTCCACTTAGAGAGCATTCTTTGTTTGGACTGCCGTCTGGGGCAAGATTTTGATGTTGGACAATTTGAGAAAGAGAGGCAACACTATTGTTAATTGGTATTGTCTATGTAAAACAGACGGTGAGTTTGTGGATCACATTTAGGGCTGCAAATGAGCCGAGCTATTCATGAACAGCTCGGGCTCGACTCGTTAAAAGTTCGGCTTGAGCTCGTTCATTTAGTAAATGAGCCGAGCTCGAGCTCAATTTCCAGGCTCATTTAATAAACGAGCCGAGCTTGAGCAACATTGAGCTCAGCTCATTAGGCTCGTGAACAAGCTCGTTAAGTTAATGGCCCATTTGTATAATCATTCTAAGTTTAAAAATGTTTAACCCATATAAACTTGGCCCAACTCACGTAATTTTATTAATAAAGTCCCAAAAAGTTATAATTCATTAGCCCATTATGCAAACAAGATTTTAGGGCTGCAACTCGGGCGGGTTGGGCGGTATAACTTGAGCCCAACCCACCATATGAAATGCTAAACCCAAGCCCAAGCCCAACCCTAACCCTAACCCTGTCCTCAACCTTAATTACTTAACCCAAGCTCAACCCATCCTTTTACTTTTAAATTCGGGCTTGCTACTTGGACTTAGATTCCGGGTACTTCGGGTTAATTCGGGTTACTCATATGGTTAATCTTTATACCGAAAATTTAATATTATCTTGAATTAGTTTTATATCAAATTACTCTTAAATAAGAAAAAATTTAAAAACTTTTTGCAGATTTTAATAAATTACAAACAATTTTAAAAAAAATTAATTCTCTTAAATGTTAACATACAATAAGTTAAGATTTAATAAAAGAAGTTGAAAATAAAAAAGTAATCATAGTTTAAATATTACATATAATGTATTTAAAAGTAAAAATATATATAAAAATAATATTAGAATTCGGGTTGGCTCGGGTTGCTAGCAATTCAACACAAGCCCAACCCTAATTAAATTCGGGTTGATATTTTTCAACCCAAGCCCAACCCTAATTGTAAAAATGCATTGCCTAAGCCCGTGAAAATCGGGCTGGGCCGGGTTTGGTTCGGGTTAACCAACCTAAGTTGCACCCCTACAAGATTTAATCTCATCCCTTGAAACTTAATACATCTCAGCTGTTGATTTATAAAGTTAAAGAGAGAAAAAACCTATCTGCAAATAAGACCTAGAAGAAGTAAAAGCGTACAGTTGCTGTGGCACATCTTCTTCTTCACCTCCGCTGCCTCATCTTGCCGGCAGCCCTCTTCTTGCAACACAGATCAGTCTCTCTCTCTCTCTCTCTCTCTATCTAACTGATCTTAAAGTAGCGCAGTTCAAAATATAGGTAGATTGAGTCTGATAAAAGTTTTAATTTTTGATATAATCTTAAAAATATGTTCTATATTTTTTCTTTTACTTTTCTGTCAGAGATAGAGATCGGAAGAATTTCTTTCCGGCCAAAGATCCGTGCTTGTTGAATATGTAAGGATCCAGAATCGAGCCAAGAACAGGTGATTTGTGCTGATTTATGCTTGTTGAATATGTAACGATCCCGAACCGAGCCGGGCCCGAGCTCGTCAAATCTCCACTGAGCCGAGCCCGAGCCCGAGCACTTCTCTGGAGTTGACTCGGCTCGGTTCATTTGCAGCCCTAATCACATTCTTATGCACTGCCTTGTGGCGTATAATTGTTGGAACCTAATCTTCGGCATTTTTGGTATACATTGTGTAATGCCTCAGTCCTCCATAGGATTGACTAACGCGTGGAGAAAATGCCCAGTGAAAAGTCACGCTCGTGACTGTTAGAGGATAGTTCCACACTGTGTTTGGTGGTGCATATGGAGAGAGAGGAATAGCAGAAATTTCGAAGGAAAGGAATCGTCTTTGGTGACTTTGAAAATTCATATTATTCGTTCTATTTTTTGTAATGTGAAAGGAAGCGCTTGCTCCTCGACTGATGACTTAGTTGATCTTTTGGACTCTATGGGTCCTTAGGTTCAATTTTTGTTTTTTGTATTAGGGACGCGTTCCCCTTTTGAATGCTTTTCTAATTGACTTTTACTCAAAAAAAGCAAAAAATTAATGATAGTTCTGTACATTGTGTTCTATGGCAGCGTCTAAGGTGGATCCCTTGCACCTTGAATATTTTAGCTTCACTGGCAGAGTAATTGCGCTAGCATTGATGCATAAAGTTCAAATTGGCATTGTTTTGGATCGTGTGCTTTTCTTGCAATTGGCTGGACAGTCTGTTTCTTTGGAAGATATACGTGATGCAGATCCATGCCTGTATAGCGGCTGCAAGAAAATTTTGGACATGGATGCTGAGGTAGTAGATTCAGATGCTCTAGGTCTAACGTTTGTTCGAGAAGTTGAAGAGTTAGGATCCAGGAAGGTTGTAGAGCTTTGCCCTGGGGGAAAAAACATTGCTGTCAATAGTAGGAACAGGAAGGAGTATGTTGATCTTCTTATTCAGCATCATTTTGTCACATCTATCAGCGAGCAAGTAACCCACTTTTCACAAGGTTTTGGTGATATGCTTTGTGACACAAGGCTCAAAAAATTCTTTTTCCAAAGTTTAGAGCTTCAGGATCTTGATTGGATGCTGCATGGGAGTGAAAAGGCTATTTCTGTCGAAGATTGGAAAGCAAATACCGAATATAATGGCTACAAAGAAAGTGATCAGCAGATACACTGGTTCTGGAAGGTATGTACCTGTATAATTCTGGTTTTACTATAATTTTTTATCTTCTATGTTCAATTTTGAAGACCATTCATTTTTGTTACATCCTTATGGGGTTGGTCTTACTATATTTGCTATGTTTAATGTTGAAGAATGTTCATTTTTCTTACATCCTCATGTCCTTGGTTTGGGCCTTTTATGATATATTGGTTATTAGTGGAATCTTCTTTCTTGGGGGAACTATTTATTAATTTTATGGTGTTATTCGGCATGACATTCCAGTTCGTCATTCCATATTACTTGTAGAAAGTTTTTTTCTCTTTTGTTCCCCCCCCTCTTTTTTTCCATGAAATTAGTGGGCATTAAGTCGCTGATCATATTTAATGCTGCATAGTAACATTAAACAAGATTCTTCCCTAGTCAAAGTGATTTTGTGGGCATTAAGTCAAGATGATTATATTTAATGCTGCAAAGTAACAGTAAACAAAATTCTTCCCTGGTCGATGTGATTTTTTGGGGATTTGGATAGGGGCGTGGGATTGGAGTCGGGCACATTTATTCTCTTTTTTCATTCTTTAGTATTAGACACCATGTCTCATCTTCTGATATTTAATTTTTTAAAATGATTTTTAATTACTTCATCCCATATAAGTTCTGATCGGTCTCTCCGTCGCTTACCTTTTAAGCAAACAACTCTACCTCTTCTAATGGGTGCTTCTTCAGGCCTACGTTATATGGTGATACCACCTAAGTCTACTTAATCTGATTTTATTACTAATAGGCGTTATTCCTAGTTTTTACTCACTCTTTCATTACTAATATTGTCTCTTTTAGTCAATCCTCTCTCTCTCTCTCTCTCTCCCAACACTGCTCTATATAATATAGCTGACCTAATAACTGTCCTATAGATTATCCTTTTAATTTATTTGATTTTTTTTTGGTCACGTAAGATGCAACTAGCTTGCCTCCATTTTGTCCACCATGCTCTAATCCTATTTACTACATCACCATCTATCTCCTCATCTTTTTGTAATAGTGACCCTAAATAATGAAAGTGGTTATTTCTAGCAACTATTTAATTATAATATTAATATTGTCATCTTCTGCTACTTTAGCAAATTTGCATTCCATATAATCTGTTTTAGTTTTACTAATTTTTAGGCCTTTTGCTTCTAAATTCTTTCTTTATGTTCCCAACTTTGTTGCTAAGGCTTCCGAAGTATCCAATAAAACTATGTCATCAGCAAACAACATGCACCATATATTGGTTTGTTGGACATCTTTTGGTATTCATTTAACATTATAATAAATAGGTATGGACTTAACACTAATCCTCGGTGTAACACTAATCCTCAGTGTAATCCTACTTTTATAAAGAATTCACTAGTTTTTCCACACGTAGTAACTCTGGTCAATTTCTTATTATACATATTTAGTTCTATAGGAATTTGTTTTCTTTTTAGAGCATTACAAATTATGTCTCTTAGCACTCTATCATATGTCTTATTTAAAGCATGTGAAGACCATGTGCAAGTATTTTTTTTGTACTTCTATATTCTTCTATTAGTTGTCTTATGTTTATGACTTCCATAGTTGATCTACCTGGCATTAATTCGAATTGATCATCTTTTATTGAAATTTCTTTCCTTGGTCTTTTTCGATTAGCCTTTCCCATAGTTTTATTGTAACATTCATTAATTTAATTTCTCTATAATTTCACAATTTTCTATATCTCCTTTGTTTTAAAAAATTAATACTACGGTGCTTTATCCTATGTGCCCTTTACATTCTCTCTCTTAGAAATTTTGTTAAACAACTTTGTTAACCATTAAATTTCTATTTTTTTCTAAAATTTTCCATGTCTCTATAGTTAAGTTAGTACTTCTATATTCTTCTATTAGTTGTCTTATGTTTATGACTTCCATAGTTGATCTACCTGGCATGAATTCGAATTGATCATCTTTTATTGAAATTTCTTTCCTTGGTTTTTTCGATTAGCCTTTCCCATAGTTTTATTGTAAGATTCATTAATTTAATTTCTCTATAATTTCACAATTTTGTATATCTCCTTTGTTTTAAAAAATTAATACTATGGTGCTTTATCCTACATTCCCTTTACATTCTCTCTCTCAGAAATTTTGTTAAACAACTTTGTTAACCATTAAATTTCTATTTTTTTCTAAAATTTTCCATGTCTCTATAGGTAAGTTATCAGGTCCTATAACTTATTATTATTCATTTTCTCAACTGTCTTTCTATTTCTTATTAGGGTAAAATACAATGCCCTCCTCTGAAGCTTGTCCTAATTACACTTGATGAAATTTGTGCAAAAAAGTTGCATTGACTTCTCCTCTTAACGTTTTGGGGCTACAGACATTAAACATTAGGGAGAAATGACTGTTATAGCCAGATTATTATAATAATAAAAATGATGAAAATTTTGGTAAAGTGGAATGACATTTTCCCACTCATTTTGTTCCCCTCTCTCCTCTCTTCTCTTCTCTCTCTCCTTTCCACCTCCGCTGCTACCCCTACCACGGCCACCTCTGTTGCTACCCTCAACCACTGATAACCTGCTACATGCACACACATACACCTCTCCTCTTAATCTGGGCTTGTAAAATGCAAAACTCTAATCTCTTCCTTACTAAGCAGACCAATTACCAACACCAAACAGCAAGATTCTCCATGACAACCTCGTCGGAACCCTAATCATCATGCCGAAAAATTGTTGAACTGACTGTGTCTCAATTTCCATTGTCTCATGTTATCTCGAAGCAACCCACCACCCAAATAACCTACACCCGTACGCATCACACCTCAATCACAATTTAGACTGCTGAAATCCAATCGAACCAGTTAAAGCCCACCACGAAGCTAAAAATCAAACCAACAGCTTCTAACCAGAAACTTATATTCGCTGCATGAATCACTGCACAAAGAAAGTTCAAAGTCGCTCAGCATTGTCATCTCCTCCAAAAAACTTGCTGCTGTAGTTGTGAAGAATAAACTAGACAAAAAACCCAAATTAGTATAATAAAAAACAAGAAAACAATGATGAAGAAACCACCGAAAGCTAGATTCCTCTAAATGTAAAGATATGTAGAGCATTCGTCTCCTTCCCAATTCCATAGTTTTGTTTTTGTTTTTGTTTTTAAAATTTTAAATGTTATGGTTACGATTCACTATTAGATCTTATTGTGTTCGATGTTGTTTTTGCTGTTGAGAATGATAAAAATGGCAGCTTAGAGAGGGAGAGATTGTGATTTAGAGAAGCTATATATAGAGAGTTATATATAAAGAGTGGGAGAGAGAATTGATTTTGTTACTTTCATCCTATACTGTTTTTTGGAGTGTGATTCTACAATTAGAGTGAGATTGGATTCAAATTATTAAACACAAACCGATTTTCCTCCCATCAAAAACCCTAGGTTCACACTTATCCAAAAAAAAAAAAAAAAACCCTAGGTTGTCAACTCCCCATATAATGCGTATATATATATATATGTGTGTGTATATATATATTTACAGAGAGGAATACGACAGAGGCGATGAATTCCGGCCAATACAAATCCTTAAAACCTTGTAGACAAGCTATTTTGTTTTTTTCCTTTTAAGTGTGTCCATGAGTTCCACTACCCTTATCTGTTAATGTCCCTATATTCCATGTTCAAATTTATTTATTTATTATATGTATTTGTTCTAGTTGAAAGGGAATTCATTTTGAAGATTTGACATAAATTTTACGGTTGGTTGTCTACCTAACGTCAACTGACCTCTTTTTCACTTCAAGCCTTATAGATACCAGCATTGGGAGAGTAAAAAATACCTTCAAGTTTTGTCTATATCACTCTACGTAATTTTTAATCTAGATGCGTAGTTTGAGGTATTAGTTACTTATTTCATCAATTTTTGTATCCAAGTTACAGTGTGAGACAAGAAGCAAATACAGTATAATGCCTTGTATGATTACAAAGTTATATTTACTCAAATACCAAAGATAATGCTAAAAAAACTATAATGTAGACAAATCAAATAATCAGTAAATGCAGAAAAACCCAGCAATCGAAGTTCTTTAACAGAAAGTAGAACAATCGGTAATAACAATAAGAACATAAGATAATCAAATCTCTTTTCAGGAACAAAATCAGTCTACCTATACTTATATAGAAAGGAAAAATACTAGGTGTTCTATTGGTCAATATACTATAAAATCAGTATATAATCCTCTGTATGTCTGGTATCTACATGTATATCAATCAATACATATCAATAGATACATGTATATCAATCAATATATATCAATAGATATATGTATATATCAGTGAATATTCACTATATGTATGTGTGTGTGTGTGTGTATATATATACACACACACGAATCAATATAGAGAGAAAGGGAGAAAACTTATTGATTAGCATAGGGTTTACTTTTCTTGATTCTTGTGGAGTCAAGGTCTTGTTCGCAATTTTGTGGAGGGTATCTGGTCTCTATCTCTGTTCTTTGATTCTTGTTGATTGTAGATGGAGGGACGATTGGGGTGAATCAAGATACTCAAAAGGGGAGAGAGAAGATGAAATCGCCGGCTTTAGATGGTAATGTCTGACGGGATGAAGGTGAACCAGAGGTCACCTTGTTCTTGTCTGTAGAAGAGAATTTGTAGCTGAAATTTTGGATCGAGGTCGTAGTGTCAATGCCCAGGGGGCCAATTAGGGTCGGGTAGAATTTTGATTAAAAATAGTATAGGGAAGCTTAGAGGAAGATAGATTTAGAGAGGGATTTTCAGAATGAGGAGAGATTTGGCTGGAAATAGGGTTAGGGTTTTGATTGTGCGCAGTAAATAGAAGATTAGAAAAAAAGGATAGGTTCAGAGAGATAGATTTATAGGGTTTATAGCCTGAAGTGAGAATACAATTTTAATGCTGTGGATAATCAATTGACATCTTTACAAGCCCTATATTTTAAGGAATCATACTGAGCAAATGAGGAAAACATTTTGAATTTATGCCAGGGAGGTCGACCT